ATACGTTCACCTCCTCCATACTCTCTCCCTCCAATCTGATATTCAATCTTTCATCACCTAATCTTTTTGTTATCCTCATAACCTTACTCTTTCCTGTATTCACCTTTAATTTTCTTCTTTTGCACACCCTACCAAATTCATCCACCAATCTCTGCAACTTCTCTTCAGAATCTCCCAAGAGCACAGTGTCATATATATATATTATATATATATATATATATATATATATATATATATATATATATATATATATATATATATATATATATATATATATATATATATATATATATATAATATAGTATATATATATATATATATATATATATATAATAGTATATATATATATACACACACACACACTCTCATGTCACTGATGCTCTGTGGTTATTGAATGTGATTTCTAACACCTTAAAAAATTGTATTAAGAAGACATTTACAGTGAAGAACCTTGTATAAGCCCACAAGTGGGTTTATAAAAGGTTGTTTCCTAGAGGTGTCTTTCATTTGCTGGCCAACACACACATTATCCCCCATACCTCAAGACTAAGCATGCTCATCATCACAAAATATTCACTGACTGTCATGGTTTGTCACTGCTACCTGTTAGGAGCAAAGGAGGCAAGTGGTTTATATGACATTAATCTTGGGATTCAAGAAAACTGGTTGGCTGGATTTGAGTCCTGAAGATGGAAAGTACAGGTCAGCCATCACTAATCCGGCAATCAGTTATCTGGTTCCATCAGTAATCCGGCACTAATTTCGGCTAGCATAATTTCAAATTTCATCATTATACTGACTCAGATTTCATCATTATATTCACTCAGATCATTATACTGACTCAAATGTCATTATATTGACTCAGAAATTGTTCAGATGGTTGTAAATCCACATTAGCAAGCCAGTGGAGGAGAAAGCAGTGATGAAAATGAGGAAGATGTGGCACTCTCTCTCTTGTTAGGTTAATTAAGTGTATTCTCGCCTAACCACTCTGTAATCCGGCAAACTCAGTAATCCGGCACACTACAGGTCCCAATGATGCCGGATTAGTGATGGCTGACCTGTACAATGCCTGTTTTCTGAAGGAGGGGCAGGGATATTGCAGTTTTGAGGGCCATCTGGATTGCGATGCCAACATGCTTCTGGCAAGACATTGAATGAATGACTGCATAAGTGTTTCTTCTACGGGTCATCCTACCTCAGTAGGAGATGGTTAGCACGTTAAAAAAAATTGTAATTATTATTATTATTATTATTATTTTTAATGTTAAAACATATATGGTAATATTTAGTATCATAAACAGAAAAAATCAATGTGATTTTGGTGTCGTTCGTCAGTACTGTAATTTTTACATACGTACATCTCTACACAAAAGTTAGATGTGAATAATATTTTATGAATTCTGTTCTTTACCAAGAAAATGGAATATACACGTGCAACGAGAGGAAGGGTCCACGTTAATTCTCATTTATAATTCAGCATATCAACGTGTACGTGGCTATAATTTACTTTATTGGAAATGCCATGAGGGGGAGATCTTGGCTGACTAATAACCTCATGGTTCCTCACCTGTTCTTGCAATTTTCATTAGTTTTTGGTAGCAGGTGTGGGCTCTTGGTCCAAGGATTTGGAGCAACTCTCCCCTTGGATCAAACCTGATTACCTCTCATTCCTCAGGCTCTGTATTACTCTTATGGGTTTAGCACTTCCTTATGAATATAATAATTTTCATAACTATAATAATTGTAATTAATAATAACTATGTATAATTAATTATAATTATAATAATAATTATAATCATAATAATTATGTAGCTATAATGATCATAATAATAACTATAATAATAACTATAATAATAATAATAATCTGAGTTACAAAATATTTTTTAGCTTAGAATGTTAGAATAACTGGGTGAATGATATTAACCCTTAAACTGTCCAAACGTAGATCTGCGTTGACATGCGTAGCACTCCAACCTTTATTTTCCCCATTTGAAAGCGTGTAAAACAACGTAGATCTACGTTTGGAGCCCCCTGCACGTGAACGTAGATGTATGTTTGGACAGTTTAAGGGTTAATAGTTCCCTTAACTGAACAGTTGTATTGGTAAAAATGTATCAGTGTCTTCCACTTTAGAACTTCTAGTTTATGGCACTATCTGTATGGGTAAATATTTTTTAGTGGCTAGTTGCATAAATCAATACGATTTTGGATTTTATGCATCGTTAGAGTTCATCCCAAAACCGGGAGTGAGAATGAGAAATAAAAAGCAAGAGTAAATAAATATGCATATAAGTGTATGAGAGTAAATAAATACACATTTAAGTGTGTGTGCATGAGAGCATGTGCAAGAAAGCGTGCTTGAATAAGAGCCATTGATACAGTATGCATTTAAAATACTGTATAACTCTTCTATATTACTGTTTTGGTTGGTAGACAGCAGCCATCCTGTAATCTGTGTAAAATGAGAGTTTGTTAAATGTTTTGCATTCTGGCCAGATTGCCAGTCTTTTCTCTATCTTGCATTAAGACATAAGATGACAGGTAAATCTTACACATTTTTGCTTACATTCAGCATACACTTTCTTGTTTCTTAATAGCTCTTAGTCTTGTGATAGTTCCTTCCCAGCCTAGGAGGTCTTGTCTGAGATTGAACCTTGGGAGCAATAATCCCAGGAAGTGCTAACAAATAAAAGCAGTTGAATTAACATTTATTCTTTATTACCAGTTACTTTGTTACAATGTATCCAATAAACAGAAAGCCCATAGTCTGTACAACATATTGGGCAAAACCTTTAGTCTGGCTACAAGAACTACATAGTTTATTATTTATTAAGTCTATGCATGGCATTAACAGGAAGTATAAAAGATAGAATACAGCAGTTTATAAAAAAAATTGTCTGGTTGAAAAAGGACAAGTGGAACTTATTAACTTACAAGATATTGTAATGCAATTTAATGATTTGTATGAGTCTGCCAGAGTCCAGCAATTACAGTCAGTTCTCTTATAAAGTTCCTCTGTTTAGGACAGATTTTCATAAATGTGATTGAAAAAGGTAAGCCTAAAATTTAATAGCACATGGAAAGCCCTTAATAGTACTGTACATGCTACTCCACGTTTGATGCACATTTTCAGCCATATATATGGAAAATTACCCTATATAGAGTAGCTTAATGAAAGTTATATGTTTTATATTTGCTGTATAGCAATAAAGGTCATGATTTTTTTAAGCTTTAGTGCAAAATATTTAAAAAATAATTATATTTATTCAAATTCAAATTTATTTATTTCTTTGCAAGTAGTACATTGAGATTATGTATTTACAATAATGGGTTGCAGTGCAAAGAGAGCCTCTATTATGCCTAGGCATTATGGGCCGACTTAAATTATATCATAGTTGTACAGTAGTTCTATTAATTATAAGTGAATCTAATTTATATAAACTAAAGGATATATTCAAAAATGTTTTTTGTGAAACATGATTCAAATGCATGTTTGAAATAGTCATTACAGTCCATACAGTAGTATATGAAAGGTGGCTGTATGAAGCATAAAGAAACAGGAGAAAGGAGAAGACAAAAATAAGCACTTAAAATGTATTATTGCACTGTTCAAGAAAAATGTAGCAGACACAACATAGTACAGATACCTCCTCATGACCACAGGAGGGAGTCATTCATTATTCATAAGAACTTAAGACCATAAGAAAGGAGGAACACTGCAGCAGACCTACTGGTCCATGCAAGGCAGGTCCAATTCTCCTATGGCTCATTCCTTTAGGTGTTTCACCTAATCCAAGGAACTGGAGTAATTTCTCTGGATCAAACCTGATTACACCCCATTCTCCAGGCACTGTTTTATTCCTATGGGCTTATTGCTTCCCAGTAATATTAATAAAAAGAATAGTTAATACTATAATGTATACAATATATCATATTGTTGGTGCTTGTAAAGCTGGTCTTTGGCTACTTATTCATCTTTACATTTCAGCTATTGGCTAGTATAATACAGTTATCTAATTTTTACACCTTATGACATAAGCTCATTGTATATGTATCAGTATTATCTCTTTAAATCCTATTCGTACAATTATCATCAAGGTGACGTTAGCTTGTGTCTCACTTTGATACTATCATTCATACCATCACCACAGCAGCCTTAGTTACAGTGTTTGTCATAATTACTATTGTGGTTCTGCAGCTACATAACATCCCATCACTGGGCTCATTTCCAAATACTTGTTATGGTTACATTATTATTGACCACCACCACCTTGGTAAGTCCATCGGTTATGCAGTTAGTATAATAACAATCAATGTCATATCATCATTTGAATACTAATTAAGTGAGTGTCTGTGTTTAGGATAAGCTCTAACACTACCAAATATTGTATGATATAAAAACACATTAAGTACAGTACTGTACATGTAGTTATATGAGGCACAAACCCCAGTAAATGTCTTGACCTTTATTTTTTGAATTGAAATAATGTTGGATGCCTGCCTTGGAGTGCTGCCTTGTTGTGCTTGCTTGCTTTTCCCTGGGGGGGGGGGGAACTCGATGTTAGTGAAGCACTCTTGATTTAAGGAATCGGAGTAATCATTTCCCTTCTTCAGATCAAACCTGATTACTCCCATTCCTCAGGTGCTGTATGAACCCTCCCTACAATTTTGCACTTTTCCATGACTATAATTTATTGCTTTTTTTGTGTAATACTCAATATTTTTTCTTCATAATACATGTATAGTCATTAATGAAATACATGTAGAGTAGAGCTAATTTACATTGGCATGCATGACATTTGATATGCAAAACAATGTACATATGATTAAGGTATGTTTTTTTGTGCACATATTAATTTATACTTAATGTATTTTATAAGTTGATCAGTAGGATTTTGCATGTCCAGGCTGTACTAATCAATTTTCAAATTAACTTAAGTGAAGATGCTGTGTAATTCTGCAGCTATTTATTATAATTAATGTGTACCCTCTTGCAGAGCCTGTTCAAGAGGCATAGGCACGAGGCTGCACCTTATGTTCCATACTCCTTCCAAAAGATTAAGTTGGTAAGTAGATACATAATTTTTTTTCTCCTGAATTTGTCATGACCAGTAACATGGAAATATACTTTACTATAGCACAGTAGTGTTGATTTTTTGAGCAAGAGTGAAAATTGCCATAAAAAAGAAGCCTATTATTTCAGTATTTAATCATGCATTGTTCAGATTTATTTTCTATCATCTTAGGAAGCTGAAGCAAGACTCAACCAACCTGGAGTTCCAGTCAAGCCAAAGATACCCCATAATCAGGTCCAGAGGTATCTGAAGGAGTTTGCCGATGCAAAGGAAGCAGGTGAATGTCTGGTTACTGGTGTATGTTTATGTACAGGCAGACCCCACTCATACAGCAGGTTAGGTTCTGGGCTACTGCTGTAAAGCAAAAATCACTGTGAAGTGAAATCTAACTTTTTTCACTGTCAGATGCATATAAACACCTGATAGCATGTTTACACTATCATATATTAAGTGAGCAATGGAGCTAGGCCTAAAAAATGCATATGCAGCACACGTTACTTACCTTAAAATATTTTCGTCCTTAGCTTAAAGCGAGTGGTGAATATAGTTATTGTAGGAAGTCTGAATTAATAAAAACTAGGTACATATACGTAATTGCATTAGTGAAATGCCATAAAGTGAAGTGCTGTAGAGCAGGGCCTGTCTGTATTTGAATACTGTACTTTTATTTAATACAACAGTACAATGAGAAGAGATAAAATACCATGATTAGGGTCAAACACTTACCAGATTTATGACTTTGTTGATTTTTAGAAACCTGGAGAGTATTAGAAACTAGGTTAGGTAAGGTAAGGTTCGTCAGGAAACAAGACAAGTGTTTCCTGATGCGGGTCTTAGTCAGATGATGACCCGCCATTGGAGCTTTTGGTCATCTGACCAAGGCCTTCTGCTGGCTTAGCAGTCCACCCCTTTCAAAATTATGGTAATAAAGACTAGCTTTTTTCCCTAGCATCATTAACGAAATATTTTTGTTCTTTTACATGATGTGTAAAATTATGCAAATACAGTGGCATGTTGACTTATGAGTGCCCCAACTTATGAGTTTTCTGAGTTACAAGCCGTCACTTGGTAGATTTTTTGCATTGAGTTGTGAGCCAAAATCTGAGTAACAAGTGAGCTTCAGATAACCACCATTAGTTGGCGCAGAGAATGCCACGACATCCACCCAGCATCCCGCATCTCACTCTTCAGTGCACATGATTACCTCGCCATGGAAGCATCTCTCTTGTGTTGTGCTTGCGTTTTGTGCTTTTTGTGCAGTTATTTTGCCATATTTCTTTTTTCTAACCATGGGTCTTAAGAAAGTAAGGTCAAAGGACAGTGCTGAGAAGAAGAGGAGGATGATGGCCATTGAATTAAAGCATGAAATCATAGAAAAATACGAGCAAAGTATGCATGTAGTACTTCTACGATATGTACCATACTAAAGCAGGAGGAGTCGATAAAGGCTATAATGCCAGCCAATGGCGTTAAAATAATTTTGCAATAATTACGCAAATCAGCGTAAATGTCTCGATTAACCAGTAGTTTATGACGAACGAAAGCGACTGAAAAAGCACAAAACAAAATGAACTCCTCCATTCTCCTCTGCCCATCTTTTCCACCCTCCACCTCCGCCAGCATCTTCTGTTAGCCCAGGTCGTCTGATCTCCAAGGTAAATACACTTTATAAAACCAGTTTATTTCTTTAGTCTCTTTTATTATGTTTTATTATGTTTTTACACAATATTTCTTATTTATAAATACATTTTTCGTATTTAAAAACCTGTAAGAAAAAAATTTGGGTGTTTTTTTGGGGGCTGGAATGGATCAATGGCATTTCAATTAATTTCAGCAAGGAAAATTTATTTGATATACGAGCATGACTCACGAAATCATAATGACACGATTGCAAACAAACCATACCACGGACGGGATTTGAACCTGCGGTCAGAGAGTCTCCAGTGGCTAACGCGACGGTCTGGAGTTTTGAAACTCTCTGACCACGGGTTCAAATCCCGCCTGTGGTATGGTTTATATACGAGCAAATTGAATTATGGTAATGGAATGAATTAAACTCATAAGTAAAGGTATCACTGTATTGGTATATAGAAAGTAAGGTTCAAAAAGAATATTAATTGTTCTGTGGTTTTTTTTTGGTAGGAAGTGGTCAATAATGTAGTCAAGTCAGTTGTGCAAGACAGGTATACAATACCGACAAGATGCAAAGTTAAAACACTTGTGCAACATCTGGTTATCTTTATTATAGATGTTTTCGCCATCCAGTGGCTTTATCAATACAGATTCTAGGACATAATTAGAAAACAGAAGAACTATATACCAAAGATGAGGTAATTAGTCTCTCAGCCTTGGAGGTGGTGCTGTAAACACCACCTCCAAGGCTGAGGGACTGATTACCTCATCTTTGGTATATAGTTCTTCTGTTTTCTAATTATGTCCTAATTAGCTAACTTTTTCTCTTTTATCACACCCTTTACTTCATCATTCCACCATATATATATGTACATATATGCTTTCATTGAATACTTTGTTGGAAAGATTCATAACAAAAGCTATTCACAACTGCAGTTTAGTTTACCTGGGTTTTATTAATCTGTTGCCCTTTCTTTAATAAGGGAGTAAGAGTCACTATTTTGTAACTTTCACCTTGTAAGAACAAGGCTACTGTATTCATATTAGGGAGTTTAGCATGTAGCATTTCCTTAAAAGTTTATTTTTAGAATCTATAGAGTCAAACCAATTTTTTTTTTTTTTTTTTTTTTTTAGGACGGTTTGCACACCTGCCCCCAGATCAACTTGAGAGGCTTGAGGAGGAGGTGAAGACAGCAGCAGCAGACTCTGATAAATCAAAAGACCTTGAAGAGTTTCTGAGAGCTGTCCGTGAGGATCAAGGTAAGACAAATAGTAAGAAAAATTAAATTAGATAGTAATTCTGTTAACAAATAAAAGTAGATACTGTATATACTGGTATATAAAGAACTCTGAATGAGGAGGTACAAAGTATTGTAAGGAAATGAACAACGAGTATTCGAGTACAACTGGAGTGTAAAAATTTATTCTTAAAAAACTTGAATATGAAGAAGGAAAGAAATATCAGTTTATGCAAAATACGTACATAAAAAGTGGTGTTCTGTGAGGTAAGTTCATTCAAGATTGGAAATGCATCATAGTCAAACAAATTGCCTTGAATATGGAAAACTAGGTAACCCAGTCTCATCAACAAGTGAGTTAACCCCTAGATCTCATACACAACATGCACATAGGAGAAAGAAACTTATGATGACATTTTGGTCCTACTTGGACTTAAACTAGTCACACACTAACACTCGAAGGTAGGGGACTCGCCAGTATATACATGTATGTGAGGAGGGCAGGGAAGGGAGAAAGAGCGATAGAAAAAATAAAAAGAAGGAAGCAGAGATAGTAGTGGAAGTAGTACTAGTAGTTGACTCACGAAATCGTCATGACACGATTGCAAACAAACCATACCCCAGCCGGGATTGAACCCGTGGTCAGAGAGTCTCAAAACTCCAGCCCGTCGCGTTAGCCACTAGACCAACTAGCCACAATAAGATTCGTCCAACTAGGTATATTTCTACACCATAGGAAGGTTAGCACAGGCACCACTGTGACCACAAATGCAAGTTTTTACAGACGAATCTCCAGCTAGCGTGGCCGTGATGAACTCTAGCTCAAGCCCCTTCACTGCCGTCAACATGACTCACGAAATCGTAATGACAGGATTGCAAACAAACTCCAGCCCGTTGGGTTAGCCACTAGACCAGCGACGGGCTGGAGTTTTGAGACTCTCTGACCGTGGGTTCAATCCCGGCCGGGGTATGGTTTGTTTGCAATCGTGTCATTACGATTTCGTGAGTCATGTTGACGGCAGTGAAGGGACTTGAGCTAGAGTTCGTCACGGCCACACTAGCTGGAGATTCATCTGTAAAAACTTGCGTATGTGGTCACAGTGGTGCCTGTGCTAACCTTCCTATGGTGTAGAAATATACCTAGTTGGACGAATCTTATTGTGGCTAGCTGGTCTAGTGGCTAACGCGACGGGCTGGAGTTTTGAGACTCTCTGACCGCGGGTTCAATCCCGGGCGGGGTATGGTTTACTAGTAGTTGTAGTGGGTAGGAGGAGAAGCAGTTGTGGTACAAGAGTCAGAGTTTAATGAATGAAGGTAATAGTAATAATGGATCTCCATAATGAAGAGTTAGGCCTTCACTACCTGTTTGGGGTTTTGTGTACATCTGGTGGTTGAGGAAAGGGGTTTCTTTTTCTGTTAGTTGAGGCTCTGTTTCCTACTGAATTGTGGTCTGGATGTGTGTTAAGTAGGCCTAGTTCTATCTTTCCTTCCTTGGATGGCACCAGGAGTAAATCTTTGTTGGCAGTGGATAGGGAACTGTACTAGAAGAACTTTGGTAATAACTTTTTCTAACTTCCTCACACAGAGATGGAAAGATAATCTCTTAAGAAGATTTTCTGTTTCAAAGGAAAATGCAAACCATGAAAAGAAGGAAAGATATCATTGTGGGGAAATGTTACTAGTGGGATCTCATGAGGCTCTACTTTTCCAGTAAAATTTGTAATTATAATGAGTGACTTGTCAAGAGGAATAAAAATTTCCATGTAAAGCTATAAACCTCCCCCCCTCCCCCCAATTTTGTGGGTTTTACTAGAATAGAGGTTCTGCAAATCTCAAATTTGTGAATGATACAAAAAATGAACATTATGTTTTCTATTTTTTGTATTGTATATTAAATGAATTTAAAATAACTAATAATACTGTTCAATTAACTTACCTTTGCTGATGATTGAGTGCTCTTTTAAAATGCTAAGTGATAGTGGTGATAGTGATGATAACTTCACGGTCAGTCAGTTGGATGATTCATCTGCAGAATCGCCCATTTCTGAGGTATTATTTATGAAAGATAACACTTTAGCACCTGTTGAACTGATGGTCAAACATTTCAAATCTTTTTCTCATTTTTCCTTACATCATTAACACCAACCACAGCTGCACTCTCACCCTTAGCCCTCATATCTAATAACTTCACTTTTCTTCCTAATTTCATCACCTCTTTCTTTCTCTTAGGAGCAGACCCACCTTTGCCACTCATGCTTCGTTTGAGCCATGATCAACGCTAGAACACTACTGTTATCCACAGATATACGTATATAAAGAGATAATCATGCCTGCTGGCATGGGGAGATATGTTTCCAACTGGGGAGTACCAAAACATTGTGGGTTCAGCTAAGCAGTAAGCATTGGAAGGCTGCAATACACAGATATGATGACTGCATCAACAATAATACACACCAAAAATATCCCTTGCTTTGGCTTTACCGTTCGTATTTCCTAAAGTATTAATTGACAAGAACATGTACAATATTATAATTTGTATGATAGATAAAAGACAAAATAAAATTTAATTTCCGTCAGATTTTCATTCCCCGCAAAAATCCATGGATGATTGAGCCTATTCTAGGATTGCCCGTCAGTAAAGATTTTACATAATGGAATCCTGCAAATTAGGAACCCTGCAAATTTGGGGAAGGGGGTGTAACTATATATGATTGTAAATAATGTGATTTGGATAAATTGAGCAAATAGATCTACAGATGGATGAAAAAATACTGTAAATACAGATACTTTCATGTATAGTAGTAGAAATAAGAGAAAGTGATTATACGCTACATAAAGGGCATAGCTTGTGATAAAATATTGAGTTTCAGACAGTGTATGTTCAATTGTATGTATGCTATCCTCAACTGGTAGGTAAAATAGGCTACCCCAATAAAACCTCCCTATCCATCAACCATTAGGTTTGAGGGTATTTCGGTATTTTTGGTATCCAGACCAGAGCTTTGGTGAGATGGGTAAGGAAGAAGGATGGGTAAGGATAGAAATTTTGGAAAAGGGTGGGAGGGGGGAGAGAGGTAGGATATAAAAGGTAAGTGGCCCAACCACTTTGGTGTAATTTAAAAAGTGTACGTGAAATGATATTCTTTAAAAGGTATAAGACTAACCCATCAGAGTCACATAGATATAACAGAATATAAGTACATGACTCTGAATTGGTAGTAATTATACAAGTTGCATTTTTTTTTTTTTTTTTTTTTTTTTTTTTTTTTTTTTTTTTTTTTTTTTTTTTTTTTTTGCGATTGCACAACGGATATTTATGCGACAATGAAGGCAATAATTTTCTGGCCAGTTTATAGAATTCCGTGACAATGGCTTCTTACAGGTGGTGTCCAGCCATATTAAATAGCATAATTTTTACATTAGATTGTTATATAAGATGTCTCCCTAATTGGGGGCGATGATGTTCTCAGTATACATAGAAGGGTTCTGGTGTTACCCAATTTTGAGGGTATAACTCTAGGAAAATATATAAAAATTTACAAAGAAATGCACCTAATCAAAAACCAATTAATGTGACATTTTATTGTGGCAACGTTTCGCTCTCCAGGAGATACGTCAAGTCGTAATGGCTTGACAAAGCTCCTGGAGAGCGAAATGTTGCCACAGTAAAATGTCACATTAGTTGCACTTGTGTCCTTTTACTTTACATATTGTCGGTAATTCTACCAGCATATATATATAATCAAAAACTAATTAAAACATGGTGATAATGAATGTATTGGGGCCACTCAGATGCTACCTAACCCCTACCCCATTGGCAATAAATTGCTAGCTTATGCATTAAAGTTAAAAGAAATTGACGAAGTACAATATCATTATGATATTATTAGAAATTAATTAAATGCTATAAAAATATATTTTTATGATCGCATCACTAATATCTGTTGCTGTGTACTTCATGTGCTGAGAATCATTGGTATATTTAAAAATCGAAGCTTTTATGTTAAGTATTTCTATGTGTATAGGTCATTTTCATGCTTTCACATTAAAATAATGGAAGTTTTACAATTTGTGCAGTACAATGAGGGGGAGGAAGCTCACATTATCAGTGGTTTTCCATCTTGAAGAAAAATGTGATCCCTGCATCTTGTGAATAGGCTAATACAGCAGATAGCTGTTTTCCATTTTGTCTTGTCCTTTTCTCTTAATATATTTTAATTTTTCTTCTTTGCTTGCTTGTATTTGTTTGATAGAACAACTTTTAGTTGGCAATTTTTTCTACAAGCAAATAATGGTTGCTACACTTCTATGTTAGCTAAGCTAAAACATTTCAAATACAGTGAATGTTTTTGGTGCTCCTGCTGGAGTAAAAATACTGTATTAGCACTAAGAAGATCTTGAATTATTGGAAGATAATGTATGTGATCATGCAGCTTAAGGATGAAGAGCTCAGAAGATAATGCATGTGATCATGCAGCTTAAGAATGAGCTCAGAAGATAATGCATGTGATTATGCAGCTTAAGGATGAGGAGCTTGTAAAGGACCAAAGCAATTACAGTGGACCCCTGAGTTTCATGATTAATCCGTTCCAGAGAGTCTGCCGAAAGTTGGAATTCGCAAATGTTGAAACCATACCACAGGCGGGGATAGAACCTGCGATCAGAGAGTCTCAAAACTCCAGACCGTCGCCTTAGCCACTGTTTCATCTGGAGTTTTGAGACTCTGATCGCGGGTTCTATCCCCACCCATAGTATGGTTTGTTTGCAGTCGTGTCATTACGATTTCGTGAGAAATGTTGAAACCATTTTTCCCATAAGAAATAATGTAAATCCAATTAATCTGTGTCAGACATCCAAAAGTATAAACAAAAAAAATAAATTTTATAGAGAAGAACTATATTCCATGGCTTATTTATCTATCACAATTCATCTAATATTACATAATAAACATTATTAATAACATAGAAACATGATATATACTCTAGAATAAATAAAATATGTCATTACATATGTGAGGAGTAA